AGAGGAATTTCTCCAATATATCAAATCCAAACTGTAGAGTCACCAAGAAGGACAAACTAAAGGAATCCTTGCCATTTTATAACCTCTCTGGACAAAGAAAGGCTATAGATATTGTGAAAGATACACCCTCCAAAGAAAATGACTGAAGTTTCAGGTGAAAGATGAGACAGGACTTGACTGGCAAGTAAGATTCTAGTCCAGTGGTATTTCTCAGAGGATGGATGACTTATACCTGAAGCCCTTATGAAAAGGAATTTAGAAAACACCATTAAATGCATCCAGGACAGAGATCCCACAATAAAGTTGGATGAACCAAAGAAAACAAGCCAGATTATAGAGAAGAACCATACAAACAGAAACATATAAATGGATAAAAGTTATAAACTGGGTGAGTTCTGACATGGAACACAAGGGTGTAAGAGTGGCAGTTACATGATCCAAGAGTTTCAAGTGTTTTTCTCAACCCCATGGATCTCTCTTCCTAAATTCTGAATACCCAATTTGTAATTTTAATTTCTCTCTTAAGGTATAGCCATAAATTCCCCCCCCCCCCCACCAGGTTAATGTTTTATTCCAGACACTCAGACTGTCTTCTCTTTCACCATCCATGTGATGGCTGACTTCATTGAATCTAGCAGCACAGAGGACATATCACAACTCCCTGTCCCTTTATAAGGGCCTCCCACATTACCATCTAATCAAATAGGCATTTAATATAAACAAGGCACAACTTAGCCTAACTCACATCACCTCAGGTGTTTGACAATTAGACTACGAACGAAAATCACGAATTTCATTCAAACCCAGATGAGATGTTTGTCTTTTCTATTTCTATAATTTCCAACATAAAAACTTAGCCTTAAAAAACAGAAACAACCTAATATGTTTTGTTCTGGTTGTTGATTTTAAGTATACATGAGATGGAAGTCTAGAATATGTTTTTATCTCTTATTTAGGAATGTTCATGTTTCTATTTCCTGTCTTTGGATACTTCCCAAGTACTTCTCAGATCTTTTCAATGCTTCAAAGTTTAGCTGATTTCCTAAATTTACATCCTTAAGAACTGTGGCTTTGAAAGTAATACATAATTCACCATAAAAATTTCCCCACATCTACTTTAGGTTTGAGTAAGTAGACCCCTGGATTGTAATATGAATATTTTAAACTTGTCTGATCAATTCTGAATACTCTATTTGTCACAAACACTGGAAGAATTCATGTTTAAAAATAAAACAATGCTCAGAACTTCAGGGGTGGAAACTGATGAGCTGTGTCATTCAAAGGTCCTTCTTGGCCTGCCAGCTTTATCAGACCAACAGAGACTCGCAGTCGATGAAAAGAGGTTTTCAAGTTAACAAAATGTGTAGCACCAAAGGATATTAGAAAGGAGGCTAAGGTGGTAAGTTAGAACGCAGAAAGTCACACTGCTTCCAGATAATTCCTAGAGTGTTTTTGTAGACTTTATGTAATGGAAAGGGTCTATTATAGCCATGTCCTTTTTCCTTAAGCTGAAAACTTCTTACAGAGTTTCATTGTTTAGGTTTTTGTATGTCTGACACTTGGAAAGATGGCTCTTTCCTGAAGACCACTAGAAACATGGCTGGAACATTTTAATCACTCATGCTTACGTACATTTAACAACCCTACATTTGACTGAATTATAAAGACATTCTTATTTCTACACATGCACTGTCTTCTCATGTTCCTTCAATATGAAAACTCGTGTGTATCCTCTTCCAGAGTAAAATTTCAGGTAATATATTTTTAGATGACAGGACTTTTCCTCCTGATGAATCTAAGAGAGGACCAGGAAATAAACTATTGGGATTAAAGAAATGAGAAATTTTCTAAGATAGTCACATGCAACAATCCCACATTTGAATAAAAATGGTGAATATACAAGAGGGCGCAGTTGACTGTACTGCTAGAAATCAGTGTCCCATTCCAATACCCCCAAAACACAGACTCTCAAAGAGGACATTGGCAACTCTACATTATAGATGTCACTTCTGCTTTCCTTTATCATGATTAGGGGTCCCAGTAGATGAGAACTGTTCCTTAAGTGATGTATGTAAGTATCTTTCTGCACACAATATCACCTAGGTAACAAAGTTTATATGCCATTGTCAACAGGAACAACTATGTTATGAAGAGGTGGACTCACCCCTGCTGCCCACTAACAAATGCTTCTAGAATGAACAATGGAATTTTAGAACTTGAAGGAACTTATCAACTGTGTAGTCCAACCACTCACCTTGGTCACACTGTTGAAAGAAATAAGAATCAAGGTCCTTAATCTCAGTACCAGATATTTTCAATATTGCAGGCCGATTGCCCATCAATTGAAGAGCTGAAATTTTCCTCTCTGCTGTTTATTTCCATTTCTAAATACCATTCCAGCATCTTCCCTCATTTTATTCAGTCTTTTAGCCTGGGGATTTTTCCAGTAAGATTATGTCAACTAAATCCCTAGTGAACACTTTGCTGTCTATCCCTTCCTCTTCAGAGGTTCTTTTGAATGTGACCTTCATGGTTATAAACCACTCAGTTATTTCCATTTCCTCTCACTGTCCTCTCGTCTCCCTACTGCCCTCTGCCACGGCTGTTCCACAGATTCTATCTTCTACTTGGGTCTTCAATCTGCAACTTCTCTGTGACTGGCTCCCAGAAGCTCCCTGAGCTTCAGACTCTTGTCTCCAGGTGTTTCCTGCATATTTTCATGTTCCTATCTCCTCAAATGCAACATATCCCCCCAAATCACCTTCCTTACTGCATAATTTGCTCATCTTCCTAAGAATATCATCATGTCTCCAGTCATGCAAGTTCAGAACTTCAGTTATCTCAGTCTTCCACCTTTACCCACTCATACTGATTTTTAAAAATTCAATTTATTTGTGTTCCTTTTTGAAGTCATCTTTCTTTTGGTTCCCAGAAAAACCACCATAAACTAGGTTTTCATCAGCCTCTAACCAATCTCCCTATCTTCAATTTATCTTCATTCTTGAACATCTATTTCATTGCATTAATCTGTTTGTTCAAAAAAATATTTCATTTTTCTTAACCAGGACCTTCTTCTCTAACTCGGTGGGTCTACTTACATTTTTGCATTGTACTTTCTCATTCCTATGCTTGCCCACAATAAATTCCACAGCTAGAATACACATCCTCCTAATTATCATCTCCAAATCCTGACTGCTTTCAGTGGTGGTTCAAGTCCAGTGTCTGCAGTGAAGCTTTCTGTTATGGTCCTTGAATTTACGATTTTACTTATTCACCACCTTTCTTTGTGTACAATTTCCAATTACTTTATATATCAGCTTTCTGAATATATCTGTCTTATCTTCTCGGTATGGCTATTGGAACCAAATCATACATGTCTTTATCACTTCCGAAACTATCCCAATAACTGTATTACATTATTTATTATATATATTTAAATGAGGCATAGTAGTTAGGAGAATATTGGAGATAAAAATTCTGAGTTCTGCCTCTTGTTTTGTTCTTTCTTGCTGAGTGAACTTAGGCAAGCTACTCAAACTCTGTAAGCTTTCATATCTATAAAATAGACGTAATACCACCTACTTCATAGTGCTGTTGTATAGTACAGCTTAGCAGAATGTATATGTATGTGTGTGTACACACAAACACGCAACGTTTAACACAGTTTCTGGGCCATAGTGAATGCTTTTTAAATAGATGGCTAATTATAATTCTGCACACCATAGGCACTCCTTTTTGGTCAATAAACTGAAAAGGTCTAAATATGTTTTCATAATATGCTGTCAAGATTCCATTTCATGTTTTTTACACCATTGATTATCATATTAATATAGTTAGGCTTTGAGTCCCCAACCAGATCTCATCTTGGATTGTAATCCCCAGGTGTTTAGGGAGAGACCTGGGGGGAAGTGATTGGATTATGGGGGCAGTTTCCCATGCTGTTCTCATGATAGTGAATGAGTTCTCACAAGATCTGATGGTTTTATAAGTGTATGACACTTCCTCCTACACACTCTCACTCTCTCTCTCTCCTGCTGCCATGCAAGATGTACCTGGTTCCCCTTGCACCATGATTGTAAGTTTCCTGAGGCCTCCCCAGCCATGTGGAACTGTAAGTCAATTAAACCTCTTTCCTTTATAAATTACCCAGTCTCAGGTAGCTCTTTAAAGCAGTGTGAGAACAAATGAACACACATATTTAATAAAAAATTACTTTTCTAAGCTGCATTCCAGAAGAGTAGGAAAGAGACTTTCAATCTTCAAGCTGTGCCCAGTTGACAAGACCTAGTGTATAAAACTCTGTACAGACCAGTTTCATCCATACACATAACCCGATCAACCATGATTTTCAGCAATTACCATTTTAATAATGGAGTTAAAGCAGAACTAAATAATTTTTTGGGAAGGCTAGAAAAGTTTCCAAATAGCCAAGTCAATAGGTACAGGTTTGGTGACAAAGGATTGCTAGCGCCTGTCAAAAACTGAAACTCAAGGATTAGTGACCACAGTCAGCTTTTCCTATGAAGAAAGCCATGAACTTTCCTTCAACCAACAAGGCTATAACAAAGTCTAATCAATAGCTTTAAAAAACACAATGGAAATGTTGCAATATGGTACATTAAAAACTAGCGACCTGGCCTTTTTTGGCTGAAGTAATTCTTTTTTTTCCCTAATGAAAGAGTCTTTTCTCCTTTGTGCAGCAGGTCACAACTTTCCTAGGTTAACTCATACTGTATTTAAAATATCAGATGCTACACCTCCACCTCCACAAAGGTTGCAGGAAGTTTCCACCAGAAATATCTATGATCTCGCGAAGGGAGGCTCCACCCACATATAGAAAGTCAAAGCCACTGTCTCCCTCTGCCTTGCCTCATACCTCCCACAATGATGAGCAACCACAGGGAAAATCTCTCTCTACACCATCAGCCAAACAACTTTCCTTCTAGGACCCCAGCTTCATTATTTCTGCACTCCTAGGCAGGAAAATTGCGAGGTCTTACCGCAGATGTTAGACGCGCAAGAATTTCATCACTGCTTTCTTCAGAGTCTTCAATTTTCTGATGAGACCTTTGGGAAAAAAAAGAACAAATTACTTTTCAGTTTTGGTTGCTCAAATTTATCTACCAAGTTAGGAGGAATAAAGGGGAAACAATGTCATTGTTATTATATTAGAGAAAGTACTCATGCTTTAACAAAGGTTGTGTCAGTAACGCCATAGGAACATAATCCTCTTGCAGGCCAAATGTTCTCACAAAATCAATTAGCAAGAACCTCTTTACAATGTACCAATTAAATCCTGAGGATGGAGTATTACTCACTCCATGATACAGCAGAATAACCCTGACATGCCAGTTTTACAAATATGGGCTTGCACAGAAGGTAGATGCAAATAAAAGGTGGTTAAGTGCTGAAATTCCCTCTAAATCTAAATGAAATCCAGATTTTGAAAATATGAAATGTGAACTTTCCACTAAAATTGAGTTGTAGCCAAAACAAACTTACTATAAAATGGTATCATCATAGGCCTAATACCACCATGGGAATTATGAGGAATACAAAAACGCAGAAGTTTTGTATAGCTTTGTATTTGCCTTCTTAAGAGATTACCGCCCAACTAGGAAGCTAAGAATATTATGCACATGTTAAATAACTAATGCGATGTGTAACAATGTAAGATCAGTTTGTTTGTTTGTTTGGGGAAAATGATCTTTTTAACTTAATTCATGAAAAAAGGCTTCACCAAATGTATATTCTAACAGACAAAATTATCTACTTCTGAAGAACAATCTTATATACTATACTTTTTCCTAGTTTGGTCAAAGAAAAAAATTGATTAATACAACTGAATATATAAAATTGTCTTCAAGATCTATTTCCACAAGCAATCCCTTTCAATATACACTGTGGACAGTGGGGACTGGAGGTAACTGCCCTGCAGAGCAGCAATATCAGCATCACAGTCCAGTGATTGATTTCAATCTCAGTAACTACAGTGTGTCAGCTGGAATGCCAGCCTTATGGGGCAAGAGGGCTTCTCCCAGCTCACAGGACAGCTGGGAAGCAGGTCCTTAAGAAGGGAAAAGCCAGTTGGATCAATTCTGGCATTGCCTTCTTGTTTCTGTAAATGTTATTAAACCCTTTTCCAGAAAGAAAATCCCACCCTTCAAATCACAGCAATGCATTACAAACCACTGCCTTTACAAAAATTGCAAGATACAGGTATGAAGCAGTGCTGATGTTGTCAAATAACTTAAGCACTCATGCAGTAAAGTGTGTGAGATGCTTGCTAACAATCTGCTCAATAAAAACTGTGGGAACTGAGCATTATAACTTGGGATCGTTTTTTCAAAACGGTTACCTAGATGATGAATATTTCAAATAAGCTTTATTATTAAGATTTTCTATTCACAAGGCTTCTGTAGTTATACTGAGAAGAGACTGGAAACGCTTTATAACCTCAACCACCAAACCAGATTTATATGATTAAGCTGAGGCTACTCAACAGACAGGAAATTAAGAACCAAAGGCACTAAAGGCAAGAGAACCAAACAAGGGCTTCTGCTGCTTTGTCTGTGTCTGTAGTGACGCATGGGCTGGTCGTGCCTTTTCATGTTTCTCAGACCCCAACAGATACCTGAAGTATTAGTTAATGGGCATGAGGTATTTTGCACTAGCACAGATTCTCTCATGAATCTGCTTTCAACAAGCTGCTAAAAGGAACTCAAAATTCCAAGAGAAGCTCTTGTGTACGAGACTGATAATGGCTATCTCATAATTAATGGTTGAGCTGCTGCTATTTTAGTGGCAAATAATTTAGTCCCTGTTCCGAAGTAAAACTGTCTTTCATTGATCTTCCAGAACAAATGAAGCCTTAGCAAAAACATTTCTTAAGGAAATATGTGTAAGAGGGACAGAGTGATGATCTCCCAAGAGCTGTCCCACAGCCCATATCCCATTGTTATCACCTCAATCACCAAGATTTAAGCCCAGAACTCCCAAGTATTTCTCTAGCTTCTGGCTCTCCCCTGAGCTTGCCTTGTTTTTCCATCTGCCTTCAAAGTGGCTCTATGTGGCAATTCCAGGAACTTTATTTTCACCCACATGGGGACCTTACAGGCTAACTCAACCTAACTCACACTGAACTCCTCTTACCTCCTGCCCTCAGCTCTTCCCTTGGAATTACAGGTCCTGTTCACCCTAGAGCCATCCCTTCCCTCCTCACTCCGGCCTTTGGGAAGTCACCAGATCCTCTCACTTCCCTTCCTTCCCTGCCAAACCTCTTTGACAGTCTAGGCTTCGTTTGAACAAATTATTTACAAATTATTTTACTTTGCTTGAACAAATTATTTGTTCAACTTCGCTTGAACAAATTATTTTAACCACCTTCTAACAAGCTTGTCTCTGGCTTCTCTTCTTGTACCCAGATACCTACAGACACCAGGACCACCTTTCTAAAACCCAGATCTGGTCCTGCTCTTCTCCAGACTCCAAACCTTCAGGGATTTTCTTCACTGCCCACTGAGGGCTCTAGAATTCGTAAATACTCTTCCTTCCCTGCTAACATGCCCCATGCCCCACTGCACCAGCAGGCACCTGTACCTCACCTGGTGTAAAGGAAGGTCATGAGGGCAGGACTGGTAGTAACAGGCAATAGTGGAAGAGCCTGAAAAGGGGGAAAGAAGAGAGAAGGCAACACTCGGCTACTCTCCTTTCTTTCACCACTACGGTCACCTTTTAACTGAAACCCCCTCCTCAGCTCTAGGCCAAACTGCCCAAAAATACCAGACTCTCTTTTCTCCAGCAAATGTATCTTTTACAAAATTTAAACACATTCTGTTTTAATTCTGTATTAATGTACGTAAATACTTTTCAGTGCAACCCAGGAAAGACAAAGTTCTCACTTACCCCATCAAAATAAATAAGGAAACAGATGCAGCAGAGGAAAAGCAAGTGTAATACTTGCATGTTTTCCATTATTACTAAAGGGGGCTATGCTGCTCAGTGAACGAGAGAGAGAGAGAGAAGCTGTGGGTCTAGTTTGTCAGTGATTAGAGAAAGAAAAGAAAGAAACTCTTACTGGAATCAGCAGGTAATGACAGTGACAAGTGACATAAGACAGAAAGAGAAGAGAAATGGGGTGACCTCTGGAAGGAAGATCTCTCCCTGAGGGTTTATGCCAACAGATGCTCTCCGTTAGGAATTCCCTGGGTTACCTTTCAAGGTCTCTGCTTACCAGTACCCCAAGCCAGACCTGGTAATTCTCCAGGGGAGAGTGCTGAGTCCTGGTGCTCTAGGCAGATGTCTCTCTGTAAGTTCAAGAGATCTGCAATATCTAAGGGTGTCATTGTGAGGATGCACAGATGACAAAAACCTATGGTCCTCCACCCTCATCCCTCTAACCATCAAACTGGATGTGTTATCATTATGCCCACTCCCACCCGAAAGGAAAATAACAAAAAGCCCTGCCCTTCCTATAGTCCTCCTCACCTGAATTGATGGCAACTCCATCCTTCCAATTGGAAACCATCCTTGAACCCCTTTCTCTCATACTCTGCCTTGTATCCTCCCTGAAATTCTATTGGCTCTTCAAGACATATCTCTCACCTGACCACGTCTCACCACCTCCATCACTACCACTGTGGTCTCAGCCACAATATCTCTCACCTGGACCCAGGAGCCTGCGGTCTTGCTAAAACGTAAGTTAGTTCATGTCCCTCTACTCAAAATCCTTGAATGACTTCCCATCTCACTTAGCATAAAGCCAAAATATTTTCATACTTAAAAATATGCAATTAACAAAGACATATATTCAAGGTGTGCAACATGATTATTTGTGAATACACTGTGATGATTAGCATAATCAAATTTATTACATACCCATCACCATTCATGCTGTACATTAGACCTCCAGAACTTGCTCAATTTATAAATGAAAGTTTGTATGCTTTGATCAACATCTTCCCATTTTCCCCACCCATGATGTCTATATTCTGGACAAGTATGTTTTGCTTAATAAAGCAAATTTCTATGAAAAAAGAAGTGGGATGGTAGAAGAATGAGAATTAGATTTTTCTTGAGATCTTTGATATGAATACAAACACTGTTCACCTTCTCAAGAGAAGATAATTTTTCATAGCATCTGGCTACTAGTTATGCTTATAGAAAAAAGTACTCAATGGGAATTATGAATGTGAAAGGTTTCATTAAGAGTCCAGAGTGTATAGTTATACTTTAATCTAAACTGAATAAAATTAGATTTTTCACATTTGATTTTGAGGATTTGAGTATTAATGTTTAATATTTAATTAGATGGTTCAATTTCAAATGCTAATATAATCAGGCTTAGATGTCCAATTTTTGCAAAATTCCTGTACTACTCTTAAATATAAATGTACTGTGATAAAGATAAGCAATCTATTCCCACACCTGGAATAAGCCTTTCCTATAAACAATGGAAATTTTGAAGGACTTAGTGTTTCTTTGGGAGAAGAGGTAATGAGTAATCACAAAGACTAGGACTAACTGATTTCACAACACTTTTTACAAAAACAGTTTAAAGTAATAAGTGGAAATTTTGTTCACTTACAACGCCAATACAAATCTTATGCCAAGTTCCATCACAAAAATTTTTTGAAAAATACTGACAACAACAAATAAAAGCTTGTTTACCCACACGGTATTTCCTCCTCTCCAAGTGTCAAGAGGATCTAATTAGGAAAAGTTAAGTTAGGAGTACAAAGGGTAGGCTTCGGACATCAGAAGAGCAGACTTGAACTTAAGCTCTCTGGCCAGAGAATGTGAATCCATCACCATTTCAGAAACTAAGGAGGCCAAGGGATGTCTCATGTTGCTAATAAACATCAGGTAGAAAGAAAAAAACAGGCAGGGTAAGGAGAACAAAGGAGGCAGAAGTGAGGGGGTGGTGGAGGTGCTATTTTGTACAGGGTGGTAAGAGGAGACAGGGACCTGAATTTTGGGAACCACCACTGTGAGATGATATTAAGTATATGACTGGGTGAGGGCACATCCAAAGTGAAAGCAGAAAAAAATAAGAGAAGTCCAAGACTGACCTCTACTGTGTTTAGAGGTCACTGCTTCAAAATGTAGGTTTCATTATTTAGGGACAGCCAGTCTGAATAATCTGAGGCAAACAGTTCAGGAGATAACTGGCATTAAAAAGACAGTTTTTTTACTCACAGTTTCCAAGAGGAGGGTGGATGACACACAAGGAGGGGCCACACAGGGAGGCACAGTGTCAGTCAGGAGGCAGGGGATATGGGGGAAAATGTGGGAAAGAACCTTTATTATGGTTTCCCCAGAATAGAATGGGTGAGGGTGAGGCAGGGTAAACAGGCTGAGGATGGACTGTTTGATTAACTTCAGCAAGACCAAAAGCATAGGGACTGCCCCTAGTTGTTTGGTACCTAGAGCTGGGGTGATTAGGGCAGGTGAAAAGCAGCCCAGAAGGTGAAAGCCCAATAAAAAAAGTGGTTATGTTATGAGCTCTGGAACGGCTGGCTTACCTATGAAAGGTGGCTCCCAGCAAAGCTAGCAGGTAAGTTCTCTACTATCTCTAGGAATGGACTATTCCTGGGATGGGCAGTCTCTCCAGGGTCAGCAAGGCCCCAAATGTCAAAGCACTGAAACACAGTTAATACAATCAGGAAAAGGAAGAATTAGCAAAGAAGCCTTAAAAGCAGCAGCCAGTGAGACAGAAGAGCCAAGAGATGTTATCCCGGGGGCCAGCTGGAAAAACTGCTTCCAGAAGGATGATCAATTGTGCCAAATGCTGCTGTCATGTCAAGTAAGATGTGGACTAAAAAATCAACATTTTGGCATTTGGCAACATGGAGGACTTTTGTAATCTTGACAAGGTTGCCTTCAGTGGAGTGGTGGAGTGGTAATGTTGAAAGCCTGAATGGAGTAGATTCAGAAAAGAATAGAAGAGGTGGAGAAAGTAACCATAAACACATCTTTTGAAGAGTTTTGCTGTAAAAGGGAACAGAGACATTGTGCAGCAGCTAGAGGGAGATATAGGGAAATATCAACACATGCTGAAAAGAACAATCCAGTAGAGGAAAAAGCTGATAAAGCAGGAGAAAAAAGAGACTTCAGAAATGAGATCCTTGAGTAGGGGTGCAGAGATGGGATCAGTGCACAATGTGAGGAAACTGACCTTAAATAAGAATGTGGATCATGACTTTAAATGATCACCCATTTTGATCAGGAGCAAAGATAGAGTCCACCAATATAGATGCAGGCAGGTTGATAGATTTGGTAAATAAAACATGAGAAAGATAGTTTTTAAAATGTTCCTATCAATGAAATAAAAAGCAAGGAAAAAGAGGTAAGAAGGGAGCAATTGTGATACAGTTTTCTAGGAGACTGAATATACCAAGAAATGAACAGGACCCTGCAGCAGCATCAAAGACTCACTCAAGATTAAAGGCCATGAATATAAAATGAGACCGATCATCCTTAGACTCCTTAACAAACCACCTCTTCCAACTACCTTTAAAATCTAACAGAACAAGATGTTAGACAACCATGACGAGTGATGGCTGAAGAGAAAGGAAGTATTGATCCTGTGATTTTTCTATGTATATAACTATGTCATCTGCAAAGAGAGATGACTTTATGTTTTCCTCCAAATATATGCCTTTTATTTCTTTTCCTTGACTTTTTGCATTGGCTGGAGTGGACGAGGTGTACTAAGAGAAGATATATTAGCCTTGTTCTGAGTCCTAGTAGAAAAGCATTTAGTCTCTTACCATTAAGTATGATGCAAGCTATGGGTTTTGCATAAAGTCTTATCAGATTGAGGAAGTTCTCTTACATTTCTATTTTTCTGAGAATTTTTATCATGAAGGTTTAAATTTTCTCAAATTCTTTCTCTGCATCTATTAAATTTATCATATAATTTGTCTATTTTCAGCCTGTGAATATGGTGAATTACATCGAATGATTTTTGAGTGTTGAGCCTTCCTTGCATTCCTGGGGTAAACTCCCCTTTTTCATAATGTATTTATAATTTTTATGCATGAGGAAGATTGTGTCTATACTAAGGAGTCACATTGTTCTGTATTTTTTTTTTCTTTTTTAAGATGGAGTTTCACTCTTGCTGCCCAGGCTGGAGTGCAACGGCACGATCTTGGCTAACTGCAACCTCCGTCACCCCAGTTCAAGCAATTCTCCTGCCTCAGCCTCCTGAGTAGCTGGGATTACAGGCACATGCCACCACGCCTGGCTAATTTTTTTGTATTTTAGTAGAGATGGGGTTTCTCCATGTTGGTCAGTCTGGTCTCGAACTTCTGACCTCACGTGATCCTCCCACCTTGGCCTCCCAAAGTGCAGGGATTACAGGCATGAGTCACTGCGCCCAGCCTTGTTGTTTTCTTTCTCTGAAATTTGTCATGACAGTGCTGGCCTCATAAAATGAATGTGAAACAGTCACTCCTCTTCAATTTTCTGAGAGACTGTATAGAAATGACATAATTTGTCTACAGCCATACAACTCTGATGGTGCCCGATCTTGTCCCATCTCAGAGGCTAAGCAGGACTGGGCCTGGTTTGTACTTGGATGGGAGAAATGACATAACTTATTTATTAAATGTTTACTTAAATCTGTCAGTAAACTTATGTAAGCCCATTGTTTCCTTGTTTGAAGTGTATCAACTACAAATTCAATTACTTTAGTATACATAATTCTATTCAGATTCTTCTTGAAGGACCATAGGTAGTTAATATCTTTCAAATAATTTTGTCCATTCCACCTAAGTTTTCAAATTAATGATCATATAGTTGCTAATAATATTCATTTCTTAGCTTTCAAATGTAACACTGCAGTGATATTCCTTCTTTCATTCTTGATATTGGCAATTTGTCTTTCTGTTTTCTTCAACACTCTGGTTAGAGATTTTGCACTTTTTTTTTTCCAAAGAACCAACTTCATTTCATTAGTTGTTTTTCTAATTTCTTTTCACTTACATAGATTTTTATTATCTTTATTAATTCCTCCTTTCTGCTTGTTTTGGGTTTAGTTTGTTTTTCTTTGGCTAGCTTTCTGAGGTGGAAGCCCTGATCATTGATCTAAGACATTTACTGTTTCCTAATATAAGCATTAAACGCTATCGATTTTCCTCTAAGTATTGCTTTAGCTGCATCCCATAATTTTGAGCATGTTATGTTTTAATATACATTCTATACTAAATATTCCTTATTTCCTTTGGGACTTGCTCCTTCACCCATGAGTTACTTCAAAGTATGATGATTTCTAAATAGTAGGAGATTTTACAAATATCATTTTACCTTTAAATATATTATTGTATATGCCTTTTTATCCTTCCCCAGTTACCTTTTGTTATAATCGTAATATGTATTACATCTACGTACACTGAAAAGCCTGCCAAATATGTTTCCTTTCAATAGTCATATATGTTTTAAAGAAATTAAAATAAAAATGCCTTTGATTTTTATCTAAATATCTACCACTTATGTAGCTTTTCCTTTATTCCTGAATTTCCAACTTTCCCTCTGATATTGTTTCTATTCAACCTGAAAATTTTCCTTTAGATTTCTTTTAGAAAAGGTAAGCTAGCAACAAATTCTGTTAGTTTTCCTTCATCTAAGAATGTCTATTTCACCTCCATTTTTAAAAACTATTTTCACTGTAGAGGATTGACAGTTCTTTTCTCCCCACCCCCCCCCCCCCCCCCCCCCCCCACACACACACACCTTGAAGACTTTCTTCCACTATCTTCTGGCCTCCATGGTTTCTAACATAAAACCTCTAATTATTTGAATCATTATTCCTCCTGTAGGTAATGTGTCATTTCACTCTAGCTACTTCCAAGATATTTTCATTATTTGTTTCTTAGTTGTTTTTAAGTATCTAGCAGTGTGTTTCTCTGAGTGCTCCTGTTTGGGGTTCACTGGACCTCTTGAATCTACAGATTTGTCTCTCACTGAATTTGGGAAGCTTTTGGCCATTATTTCTTTAAAAGTTTTTTTCTGCACCAATCTCTTTGTCCTCTCCTGGGATGCCAACATGTGTTAGACTTCACTACACTGTCCACCAAATCCTTGAGACAATTCATCTTTTTCAAGGTTTTTTTTTTTTTTTCTTGTCCTGCACACCGGATAATTTATAATGATCTATCTTCAGGTCACCTCTATTTTGCTATTGAACCAATTCAACAAACTTTTAACTTCAGGTATATTTCTCAGTTCTAAAACTACATTTCATTTATTTTTTATTTTCTATTTCCTGACTAAGAACTTCTCTCTATTCATTTGAAATTTGTTTACTTAATGGGGCATAGTTAAAATAGCTGCTATCAAGTCTTTAATAATTCCAATATCTGAGTCATCTCAGGGTTGACATTAATTGTTTTTCCTTTGACAAATGGTCATATTTTTCTGATTATTTTGTGTCAAGTAATTCTGTATTATATTCTGGCCATTTTGAACATGATGCTATACAGCCTCAATGATTCCAGCTGCAGTTCAGTTTTCAGTGCCTTTTCTATGGTACTTTGGGTCTGTCCCACAGATGTCCATCTCAGGAAACTCACATTTGTATAGTTCATACACAAAATTAGTGAATCCCTTCCCTAGGTTTCTCCTCTCCTGGATTCCCCTATACTCTCAGACTAGCTGCAGCTCCTCTGCCCAGCTCTGACCAAAACCAAACAGAGTTTCTCCTTGTCTATTATCTGCCTGCACTGCCACCACCACAGAGCTCTGAACCTGGGACAAACCTGTAAGAAAAAAGGAGAATCAAGACAAGGATTTCTCCACCCACCCCACCCCATCACACTCTTCAAAACTATAGGGGCCCATTTTCCTGATTCTTCTTGCCAGAAATATGAGGTTTCTACTATAGATTTTGACAACTGTGCCACCACTGATCTCCCATTCTACAGCTGGGGCCTGCCTTTGAGGCAAAGCTGTGAAATAAAAGAAACGAAAAGGAAAAACTCACACCAGTGTAGGTCACTTCTCCAAAGTTTCACTTCGTCCCATAATCTGCCTGCTTTTATTTACTTTCCAGAGGCCTTGGGTAGTTATTGTCTGTAGTTTATCTAGAGGTTTCAGCTGTAATCAATACAAGAGATAGGCTCTAGTAGACTTGCTCCATCTTGGCCTGAACCTGTAGTTCCATCAATAGATTATTCTTCATAAGACTCTTCAATGGAATTCGTTATTATCTTGCCATAGTTAACATCTCATAAACAAGAGTCTAAAAAGTCAAGGTTTTCAGGGAAAAAATTAAGGGTAGATAGGCTGAAAATATGCATGTCAGTTCTATTCTTAAATGTAATAAGATAATGAAAATGTAGAAAACACAAAAGACAGGAATAACCTATAACAAAAACTAATTTTCAAAAGTTGGGAAGAGTTGAATATTTCACACAGTAATTACAGATTTTTTTATAAATTTAGAAATTCACTGTACGAAATATTTTCATTTCTCAGGAAATAATTTTGTTTTTTTTTCCCACAGCTTCAGAATCTTCATGATAAGCTCCTAGGTATCACTTGCGGCACCCAACTTCCCAGCTTGTCAGTTCTGTATGAACTGAGCTCAACCCCTGTTAGTTGCTGAAGGCCTTACATTATTTACATATCGTCATATCCCTCACAGGGCCAAACACGGAAGCTTAAGATCAGTAGATGCCTGGTGAGTAAGTCACTCCACGCAGTGCAAAAGTGACAAGTGGTTGTCTTTTCCCAGACCCTCTGCTCCCTCTTCCTCACCTAAACATTAAGAGAAGCAAATTCCACGATCTTGTAAATCCCTTGTGGATACCAATATGTGTGAAGCTAAATTTGTGAACTTTTCAGAAGTGTCAGCCAAGTGGCGACAGGCAGCATGTTTGGTAAAATCTTTTTATCACAGTAATATTAGCCAGTCAGGACAGAGAGGGGGTTGTTTCAGCAGAAGCCATGAGGCTTAACAGGGTGCATATGGGAGCCACAGCCAGACCTTAGGAGCATCAGCAATGCCAACAGACATCTAGGAAGGCCAATCAGCCAGGCGGCACCACCAGGCATTAATCAAGCTGACACCCAACTTACACCAGCCCCATGCTCCAACAGCAGACGCCAACAGAATGCCAGGAACAGTTATATCTCAGGGGCACAAAGGAGCTGGCTGCCCATCCACTCGCAAGACTAGTGAGGACGAAAAAATGCCTACTCTGACAGGAGAGCCTCCCCTGTCCTTCTCTGCCAAGGTTAAGGCGCCCAGACCACTTGCCATGTACCCAGAGGCTACCTTGAAAAACAGAGAGAAATACAGAGACTGGGCTCTTTTACTAAAAGACATTAAAACATTAACTAGAGAGACTTTTTAAATTCCTATATTAGAATAACTTTACTAAAGGGTGCTTCTTCCCCCCACTCCTTTTTTTTTTATTGGCCATTCTGCAGGATGGCGGTTCATGTAGACAAACATCAGATCACTTAGAGAAAAACAAAGCAGCTACATTTTCTTTCCATATTTGAGCGTAATATGAGTTAAATTTTAGCAGTCCTCTGTCTTAATCACAGCATAAATGTTAACTATTGTGTAAGTGGTAGGATACAGTTTTATGCATTCAAGCTTCACAGACTGTCTATTCAAAGCCCTACCCACTCCCACCCCTGGCAAGCTGGGAGATGCTATAACCACAGCTGAATTGAAATAGTCAAGCTCCCTCACAGCCTAAAAGCCCAAACAAGGTAGTGTTACAAGCATCTTACCAGTCCCAAGGGAATTATTAGGCTGCCTTTTCCTACACTGTTATTTCATCATTCCTCACCAATTCTTCCCTGACTCTGCTTAAAATAAAAGAGCTAGAAACAG